AGTTATCATCCAGAATTGTAGAAAAATATTCCTTTAATAGGGTAGAGTAGTAAAGATTCCGTCCTTAACATTTTTTCCTGCTTTACTTTTACTTCTATATTTTAAATAGGTTTAAAAATGGTAATTTTACTCTTTTACTGGAGTAAAAAGTTTAACTGCTAAAACAGTGTTTTTAAACAGCAGGATTATACTACTTCAGCGATAGTTTCAAGGCGTTGCTTTATCGTATGTCTCGTACCATGTCTTTCGGTTGTGCTGTTCTTTTTGCATCTCGTTGCAGGCGATGAAGCAGACTGATAATGTTTTGTCATTTGTCTCCTTTCCATCTCCTCTTTCTTTCATCTTTTCTCTTTTTTTCTGCTTTTTTTCCCTCTTCTGTTCTATTTACATTGCAGTGTCCATATAATCTGCAAAACTCCCTGCATAATTATAATAAAGCAATTAATATGCATGAAACAAGTGGAGCAATATGGCGATAGCCGTACTGCTACACTTGTGAAAGTAAAATCTGTTGGGCTCTTTTTGGCATCAAGACAATTAGATTTATACTTTGACTTGAGTGATAAACATTAATACTCTTAATACAACAGTAGACATGAATTAAATGAACATTTGGTGAGTCCAGGGTCTGTTCACTGCCTGCAAGGCTTCAATCAGGTTCAATAGAGAGATCAGGGCCTTCAGCTGCTGTTCTCCCTGTAGACGAAGCAACATGGGAAGATGCCGATACTCCCTGCACAGTGTCCCTCCAGCCATTCCTCATTAACTGTAGGGAAGTGTGGAAAAGAAACACTGAGATGTTGAACAGAGAGGGGGAATTTAGCTTGATTCCTCAGGCTGGTCTGAGTGTGGCAAAGCCTCACCTTCACCCAGGATATCAATGGTGTCTCCTTCACTGAACTCCAAATCCTCTGGGCCTTGAGCAGCATAGTCATACAGCGCCACCATCTGGTAGAGGATGGTACGGTTTGCCAGCGGGTCCTCCATCTAAGTGCAGAGATGTTGAATAGATGTTATATATGTCGGGAAAAGAAACCTGAGAATTCATCTGTTTGACTGACAAATATTTCTAGAAGAAATACAATATGACTGCTCTAATTGAAAATCCTGTTTTAAACAGATTTAGATTGAGACTTAGACAACATTTTCGTTTTGTACAGCGCTCATGACATTTCCATTTGCTTAAAGTGAAGCAGTGATCAAATGTAAACACTGTGGGAGAAAACACATGGTGCAAAAAACAGATTGATATGGTCAGTTTGATGCAGAGTCCGTGACATGATTTAGAGTCTTTTCAACAGCTCAGCAGTCTAATGGTGGTGGGGAAGAATGTTGACCAGGTTGGGGGGGTGAGGGGTCATTGATAGTGTTAGGCGCTCGGGACACGCAGCGCTAGGATGAAATGTCTTTAATGGAGGGAAGAGGAGCCCCTATGATCCTCTCTGCTGTTTTCACCACTCTTCTCACCTTCTTCCAGTCTGAGGCACTGCAGCCTCCACACCACACAATGAGACAGCTGGTCAGAACGCTCTCTATGGTGCTTCTGTAGAAGGTGGGGAGGATGGGTGGGGGCAGGTGGGCTCTCCTCAGCCTCCGCCCGCACCCATCCTCACAACCTTCTAAGGAAGAGAAGAGAACTTCTACAGATTTGTGACTATTTCGTTTTATTTAAGACATTGACATAAAACAGTCTCCAATGAAAGAGTGAAGGCATCCAGATTTACTGCAGTGGACCCAAACAGACATCTTTACAGACATCTGTTGGACTATCAGTGGGAATCAGATGCTCCTAAGATGGATAACGTGGCACAACAAATGCTGTACATATTTTTGTCAGAATCCCCTTTTTTTTATCAGAAGTTTATAAACATCTCAGGGAATTAAATTCAATTCAGTTTATTTCTATAGTGCCAATTCACAACACAAGTCATCTCAAGGCACTTTACAGTTCACCAGATCATCCATTCAAATTGATTCAAAGTTTTTTATCTAAGGAAAACCAGTTGATTGCATCGACTCATTGACTGAAATACAATCCCTCACACTAACCATGCTTGTAGCGACAGTGGAGAGGAAAAACTCCCTTTTAACAGGAAGAAACCTCCAGCAGAACCAGGCTCAGAACATTTCTATGTTCTGCCGACACTGCCACCGGAGCTTTAGGTTCACGTCTTACCTGGCACCACAGGGTGGCTCTGCCAGCCTCTGACACTTCCTGTACTGTGTGGCCTGGCTCCACCTCCCCAGGCAGAGGCGTCAGCACCCGGGAGCCGTGCTTTTTGTGTCTGATGGGAGAGAAAACTGAAGCTATGAGGCTGCAGGTGAAGGTCAGATAAAGTTCTGTTAAAGATAAACCAAAGTGTTCCTGCTCACAAGGACAGCAGTGAATGAGTGATGCTGTCTGGAAATCCTTCATTATCTCCTCTGAAATAAAGGCTGTTTGTACCTGAGCCGCAGCTGAGCTGCTGATTGGCCCACTTTCTCTGCGATCCGTTCCTTCAGGTCCTCGTATGGCGTGTCCAGAGGGACAGACAGAGCTATGTTGTAGGTGTAGTGCACCTTCACCACCACAGATCCCACCTCAGCTTCCTGAGGGGAACCAGCCTGCTTAGAGGAACACAGGAAAACATGTCAAACTGAAATGTTTAGATAGATTCTTACTGTAAAATTATTAGTGCAGCTTTGACTGAAGAATGCGGGGAATGCTACAGAAGTTTAATCAGTTCAGCATCAGGTGAAGCCTGCGCCAATCAGAGAGGATGAAGGTATTTCCAAAAGGCTGTCATTTTAAGACTGGATGGAAAATCTAACCTTTACACTGATGATTCTTCTGGTCTGAGAGCTTCAGCTAGCCCACGTTTAGCTTCTAAAATCAACATCAAGTTACGTCAAGACCCTTCATTTCCAAATAATAATACTTTCTTGTCTAGTTGTATGGATTAAGGACTGAAAACATTTTGAAAACCACTTGGATCAAGCATTTATAGCAGCCGTATTCATCCATTCTTTAGGTCAAAGAGATCCTGCAGCTGCAGAGGGAACGGTCCACAGAGAGCGGTTCAGCTCTGCAGCCCATCTTCAGCTCAGATCTGTTCCATTATCAGTTCAATCAGGATAACAAAAGAAGAAGTTCCTGTAAACTTGACTCTATTCAAACCACAGAGAGAAGATATATTTATAGCCTCCGTGTGTAAAATCTGCTTTACTGAACGTTACGTGACACATCTGGGACACATCAGTACCCTGACAATCTGCTTGAGAAACAGACTCCTTCCAACATCAGCGGAAAAAAACTCATCTATGTTTAGATCTGACAGAAAGAGTGAAGGAGAGCAGAGTCATTGGTAGCTGTGTGTGTGTGGCAAAGTATAGCTTATCTTGTGGGGACAGTGGAAGGCAGATTTTCCAGGACTATGCTACTTTGTGAGGACTGACAGGTACATAAAGAAATGTTATTTTATGGGTTTGGGGGTTGGACTGAGTTTAGGTTTGGGGTTTAGGTTAGGCTGAGGCTCTTTGCTAAGTCATAGAAATGAATGGAAGTCAATAGAAAGTCCCCATAAGGATAGAGTACCATAACAGTTGCTTGTGTGTGTGTGTGTGGTACCTGGCTGCTTGCTGCGTTGGCCGTGTACCTCGGGGGCCCAGAGGCTGCTGGGGGGGTGTGGGTGGCAGTCATATATGAGGGAGGAGGAGTATCTGAGGACCGACTCACTGGAGAGAAAACACAGCCTGATCAGAACCACTGAAGAGAACTGATCTGTTTCTACTCGTCTGGCCACCATGAGCCTGGTTCTGGTTCTGCAGGATGTTTTGCTGCCGGACCCCAGAAAGGGATCAAACACCTGAACCCAGCTCAGTGTTCTGTTTCCCCCATACTAGGAAAGAAACTGAGCAGCGTTCAGAGTCATGAATTGGTTCTAGCGGACTGAATAGAGTAATCAGATAATCAGAGGGTTCTTTAGGATGGAACCATGGGAGCTAAATTACCAGCATTTGGTTGTTTGGATCTATCTGAGTGGTTCTACTGGGCTGGAGGACATCCGGATCCTGGTTTTTCTTCAGGTTCCATCTGATGGTTAGGCTCTCTTGGGGTCCATAATCATTAGGGGTGTGCATTGGCACTGCCCTCACGATTCGATTCGATTACGATTCACCAGGTAACGATTCGATTCAATTCGATTCTACGATGCATTGCAATGCATTGCGATGCATCAAAATCCCATTGACTTCGTAAAATCCGAAATGTGCCCAGATATCCGCTTTCCAAG